CACATATATAATATACAATGCTATAAAATTGCATATAGTATCTTAAAACACTGGTTATTCATTATTACTCACTTGAAGTCATTCACTAGCTCTCAGCTGGTCAACTACTTGAGCCATATGGTCATTCACTGGCGATTTTTAAATTTTAAAAACATTATATCATTAATTTAATAAATATTACAGAAAATTAAAAATTCACTCTTTGAACGGGTAGTACGAGTTCTTGGTAACAAGCAATGACCATTATTTATGTTAAATGTCTGTTTGTTAAGTGATTATATAGAAATCTCTTTATCAAGGTGCTTAATTGGTCATTCACTGGTGCAAATACAGTAATACCTCGACTTACACAAACCCGGAGTTACGCGATTTTCAAATTTCGCCGATTTGTCATTTGTTTGAGCGCACACAACTCTTGATTACTCACTCCCCCCACATTATTGTTCAGCTTACATATTCAGACGTGTCGCACGAAATCGACGCATAGCTACAATCCATTTTGTGTTATTTATTTCTGTATTTGTTATATCTACAAAGATTTGAGAGATTCTACTATGTCATCCAAACGAAGTATAACTGATTCTTCTGCATTTATCTTTGGAATGTAAAGTTAACATTATTAACTTTGATACAAAAATGAAAATTTGTGAATTGGCAAAGAGATCTACTACTGGAATCGACAGTCAGAACAATTATAAAAGGTAAAGAAAAAATCCTCGAAGCTGTGAAAAATGCTCAATCCTTAAATTCAAGCATGATTTGTAAACTATACAGTATTATTGCTGAGATGGAAACAATGTTAAAATTATGGTATGATAATCAAGTAAATGTAAAAAATTGTCCTGTTGATCAGAACACGGTGTGCTCTCAAGTTAAGCTGATTTTTGAGAGATTGAAAGAAGATGCTGGAGAGGTGGCTAAAGATGAAGAGTTTAAAGCTAGTAATGATTGGTTCAGCCAATTCAGAAGTCGCTGTAATTGGCATAGCATTAAAGAAAGTGGAAAGGTGACAAGGGCAGATAAAGAGGCTGCGTCTTACTATCCAGAAAAATTCAAAGCTATGATAGATAAAGATGGCTATACCAGCCAAACCATATTCAATGTACATGAGACTGGCCTGGTCTGGAAAAAGATGCCTAAAAGAACTTTTATCACATGTGAAGAAAAAACCTTTCCAGGTTTTAAGGCTGCCAAAGACCAATTGGCAGTGACGGTTGGCGCAAATGCAGCTGATAATTGTAAGTTAAAACCTCTCTTAGTTTATCGCTCGAAAAATCCAATAGCATTGAAAAATAAATCTAAAGATGGCTGGCCTGTGATTTGGAAGTTGAATCAAAAAGCTTGGGTGGCAGATCCCCTTTTTGAAAACTGGTTTGGTCATCACTTCATACCTGAAATCGAACGTTATTGCCAATCTAAACAAATTCCATTTAAAGTGATGTTAATAATCGACAAATATAACCAGCTTGTTTCAACTGATTGATCAGGGAGTCATCAAAACATTCAAAGCTTACACAAGATGATCGTTTGCACATCTTCATGAAGCTATGAGACAAAACATGAGCTCTCTGATTCTGATGTAGAAAAAAATGTTTTGGAAACATTTTTTTCTAAATTATTGTTTCTTTTAGTCTCTGGTCCAATTAAAAATAATTTGTATGTATTTATATGTGAAATTATACCCCAACTTACGCAACCCCACCTATCGTGCAAGTTCGGGGTATTACTGTACCATATTTATGTAAATTCATGCTGTCCTAAGATAGGAAAACACAACTGTCGGCAAGAAATTTAAACCACTGACTTTTCTGATCTATGTCAACACACTACATTGCACTAAAATCAATGTAACAGTCAATGACTTATGCATTAATGCACATACACTAATCAGGGTTTATGGTGCTGTAGCCACTAATGGCCACAGTGCATCAAGATGAAATTTGGTGCTATAGGTACTAAGTTTCACAGATCTGTATACATCTTGAAGGATTACTTTCAGTTCTTTTCAAGTTTCTTACTTACACAGGAATAGCCTACAACAGTGTTTTTCAACCTGTGGGTTGCGACCCCCAGGGGGGTTGCAAAGCCTTACACAGGGGTCGCAGGTAAAAAAGACAAGTGTTTGTAGGTTCTACACTATATTAAAAAACTACAATTTCGGCGAGAAAGCTGTATCTGTTTATTATACAGTACAGTTGGTTTTTTGATTGACATTTAGGTGTGAATGATGGGTTTCGCCAGGGAGGGGCCAGAAAATGATAGCCGAAAAAGTGCTGAGCTGACCTGTAAAAAAAAAATAATAAGTAGAAAAGTGGAAGTTAAAAACTGTCGTCCTAAAAAAAAAAAAGGGTCAACAGCACTCCGAACCCAATGTTCCTATGAGAGGGAAGTATCATACCACACGTGTCATAAGTTATTGTTGATCCTTCTTAAATTCTCATTTTAGTCAACAATAATTTCTCTCAACAGAAAGAAAATTAAATACATAATTTTTAAAATCACTGATATAGTTTTAATATCGCCCTAGGGAGGTCTCCAGAACTTTTTAACTTGTAAAGGGGTCGCGTATTCAAAAAGGTTGAATAACAGTGGCCTACAACACTAATAGGGTAATAATAATTCTCAACAAAGATTAATCTTGCCAAATCATGTTTATACCCTCATCATTAATTTTGATAACTGAATGCATCAAATCAAATTATATCAAGTGGTATTCATACACACATACACACAAATTTTATTTAACTTTGTTATTTATTGAAAATATCTCACTTTACATAGATAAAATTTAAAAATTAATTCAAAAAACTTGTAAGTAGATGAAAATTACACATTTTAATATCCAAATACTGTATTTAATCTTCTTTTGCACACATCTTCAATTATGCATGAGGTCTCCATTATGTGCAAACTTTAAGAGGAGGAAAGGGGCAGCGGCATTAGCAACACGGACATTGTAATATTAGTAGACTACAAATTTGTTCTTTTAAGCCAATTTACTAGTCAGTTGAATAGACTATCAATTAGAAAATATACACAGAACATTTTTGTCATTTCTTCAGTGTCGGAAAGTTCATGAACTATCGTTCATATAATTAAAGGGGGATGATTAAAAAGTGGCTCCAAAACTGTACAGACAATTTATAAGTGTGTACAGTTTTTGCATACAGCAGATGACCCGATGCATACTTATAATAGAATTACATACAGTAGCATGATATTCTGCACTTACCTCAAGCAAATATTTTCCATAATTAATAGATTTATAAGAGAAAAATTATAAAAACACAACTTCACATCATTTAATTTGAGAGAAATTAATGTAATCAAAACAAATTATTGTGAGCAGACAACCATTTATAAATTTGAAAAACAACAATTTTATTTTATGCTTGTTTTTTGTTTATCGATAAAAAATCACAACAATTCAACCATTAATAACTGTAAAATTACAGAACGACATAATTGCTGTTTAACAGAGCAAGAAACCAAAGTAGAAAAACAAAATCTGTTGGACCAGTCGAGATAGTACCCATTTTGGTACAAATCGCACCTCCGACTGAGAAATTTGGACCTTATCAGCCATAGACCGTAGGAGCAAAAAAGTCGAAGAAACCATACTTCTAAATGCGACTATTGGCAAGATACGTCCCCTCAAACCAGGCCTACTTCCAGGCTGCAGGAGATGGGGAGTAATGTCGCTCCACCAAGACAGTCACATTTAACTATTTATCCAAGTGACTTTACCAACTTCGAATAGTCTGCTGGCGGAGTTCTTGGCATGGAGGTTCTCCGAGTACACGGAGAATAGTCAGCATACCGGTCCACGGAAAAACCGACCTTTGGAGGCAGTATCTGGCAAAGGATCGCACACTCAGGTATAGTTTCATTGACTTTTTAGTTCATACAAGGATGGTTGGAAAAATCCTCATTCAGAATTACGTAAATTTTACGTCATTCTTTCAAATTTTACATTGGAAAACCAAAGAGATGACGTCAAATTGACGTAAAAAGTGCACCATCTCAACCAAAGGATCAGACTCAAGGATTTATCAATGACATTTTTGTGTGGAAGTAGCACAGGCATTATTACATCAATTCAGCCATTTTATGCATTAAAAACGTGTTTTTCAGCTCATCCGAACTAAAAATAAGCCTAAAATTTGATAAAACGTGTAAAATTTGTATTAAAATTAAGTACTTTCTACCTAAAACGTCAAGCATTTGTCAACCTGGTACCGTTAGGCCTAATTAACATGGCTTCTTTTAAACGATTTTCTGGACATAAATAAACTTTAACCCGTTTAAATAAATAAGTATTCGTGTAATTACATTCTTATACATCAAATAAAACTTATTAATAAGTAAATTTCCATCTAACTTACTCAGAAACGAAACAAAAGACTCATAAAACTTCGCCATTTTTCGAATCCGGCCGCTTCCTTATCGTTTGGCACACAAGCGTATCCGGTAATTTATAATTTAATAAAAAATTTATTAAAATAATAAAATTTCCAAATGATATCTAAGAAATTTTATAAGATTTTAATTAATAAGTAATAGATTCATTATAATTTAATTTATTTAAAATTATAAAAAGTAAAAGATAATTATTTGGGTGAAAATTTGGCTATATTTTGGTGATATTGTAAAGTAATTTGCTACTGGTCAGTCGTAGATTAAAAACACGTGGGTTTTACAGTTGGACATTTTCCAGTTAATTGTTTTGAATTTTTGAATAAATTTTTGATTAAAATATGAAATCTGATATCAGACAGCGAATTATGGTTGTTGTTAATGTTGCTAAAGAAGCATTCCATTGGGGATTTATCCCTACTGTTTTATATTTAGGTAAGTTAATTAATATAGCAAATGTTTTTATAGTTGTATGTTATATTCGAGCTTTTTAAGAATTTAAGATGATAAAATATCAAAAAGTAATAAGAAATTACAAAAGTAAACACGAATTTTTCATTAAAGAGAGAACTAATACAACTTACAATCAGGCAATAGTTTCCAGTCAATCAGTGGAGTCTTGTATGATGCAATCAATTCTGTTATAGTGCAATAATGAACAATGCATTGCACATCTATTACTCATGATTTAGCAATTTATTTGAATAATGATAGCTACAAATAAATTTTACTAGTTTCTGCAACTATTTCCATCCATTCCATTTAACAAAATCCACATTAAAGAATTGGGCATTTAAAATTCCCACCAGTGATGAAGTGGTTCTTTTCTCTGAACACTGGTAGTTCGGTCGTGAGTTTGCATCTCACCGGGATGGGCTGGTTATGTGGAGTTTTCTGGATTTTCTCCACGCTTCTAATGCCCAAAGAGGTGCCAGTTACCCTTAAAAGACCCCCTGAAAGGCATTATTCCTGCTCTCCGCATATGGTGAAGTATAAGCTTTGGCCGGTTCTTCAAATACAGAATGTAGCTCTTTCAGAGGAATAAAGCCAATAGGCTCAGCCTCAGTCTCAACTGCACAATAGAAAGAACAGGACTTTGGCAATGTTGCTATTCCAAAATGTTGGATCTTAGCGCAGCTGTTAGAATATTTTGTGAATTATTTGATTCTAAACGTTTTAAAAGTACAGTAACTCATTTTTGTGATGTAAGACTTTGCTTGAGAGGTACAATTAATGATTTAAATTTAATGTATGCAGCTTTTTTCTGCAACATAAGTAGATAAAACACACTTGACGATCCTTTATGTCCAGTAATGTTCAAAATTTGTGAAACGAACGTTTTCGGCCTCACTTGAGGTCTGCTTCAGGTTAAATTGAGAAAGAATTCTAAACTTTGTTTCACAAATTTTGGAATTTCACATTTGTTTCACGAATTCTAAATGTTACTAGACATAAAGGTTCATTATTTTAATAGGCTTTCTATTATTAATACATATCAGAGCTTTTCTAAAGATCAGATGAATGTCCATGTACGATACAGGTCAAAGCCACAATAACAGGGAAAAAGACAAGTTTACGAGGCTCCTGATTTGCATAATCTCATGTGGGACAGGTCCTCTCACAACCTAGGCATGTCTGCAAAAGTCCAAACTTTATTGAAAAACTGCCTAAAATTGCTGGAAAGGTCAAAGGTTGAAGCCCCAATACCATGGGAAAAGACAGCTTTCCCAGGTGACTAATTTGCATAATCTTGTGGGGACAGACTCTCCTGCATTGTTCCAAAGTGTCCCAGACCATCCAAAATATCTATAAAACTGCCCAATTTGTTCCAAGGGGCAAAGGTCAAAGTTCAAACAACTAAAATACACTGAAAACTACACTTTTCTCCCTTCTAATTTGCATAATTCTACATTTCAACTGTCTAATTTGCATAATCTGATGCTATTATATATACATATGTAACTGGCAATACACCTACAAGTAAGCAGGAGTAGTGGGTTCAACTCCTACTTTGGGCCAATTGTTTTCTTTCAGAATATTCTAAATTAAATTAAATTTAATCAATTTCATTTATAATTATTAAATTTATTGCAAGATGGCAGTGTAACCACCTCCAGCTTGTCAAATAACTTTGTTTTGGTTTATTATTTAGTCTAAAAATAAAATTTCAGCAGATTGGTTAGTATTCAAAGGATACAGCTTGTATGAATTTAATAGAATTTAGAACATTTCAGATTGCTGATGTAAATACTCCAGAGCCACAAATGTTGGTGCACACACTTAAAAATGTTGCCCATCCCTTCCCTGCTCCTGCATCCGAGAAATTATCTATACAGAATATTAAATAAAATATTTTGTGAGGGTGAATTAAACTTAGAAATTTGGAAAAAAGTAATTCCATTTTTAAAATAATTTTTAGTTTTTTCAATGATTTGTTTAATTACTTGTTATATTTTAAGTATTAATTTCAAGTAATAAAGGATCTATAAGAAAAACTTTCATATAATATAACTGATATTGCTTCTATGATAATCATAGGCAATGTGGGAATAATATATCAAACTTGTGAGAGAGATGTAAGAGCATATTATTCTCATTAACTGTAACTTGTACATACAAATATAATAAAAAGTATATATAAATAATGTTTTTGAAGTCTAAAATTATTTTTCAGTAATAACTTGTGTTTGGAAGTAAAATATGTTTTTATTGCAGGTTTTAAGAGAGGAGCTGATCCTGGGATGCCTGCAATTACATTACTCAAGTAAGATGGTTTTTATTATGCAATTCTTACTGTATATGTATTTATTTGATTATTGCTGTAATTAATTTTAATACATACCTGTACATATTCATGGCTGGACAGCAAGAGTGGTGAGGCATAAGCCTGCTGCTCTGATGGACTTGGGTATAGTCCAATTAAATCTTCGGAAACCTTCATAGATATGGTTGCATGAACAGGCTGACACACAAGAAGTTGCATAGTAAAACTTTAGCCACCTACACATTAGACCCAGAGGTACAGATACTTCTTCAAGCCACTGTCTTCATCCTCCTGATCAGAGAGAGGGATGATTTAAGAGCATTGGAACAGATGGAGATGTACTGTACAGTACATCTACGAAAGAAATTTGAATTGCAGTAATTTTAAAAATTGTGGCACCATTTTCACTGTTTGAAAAACTGTTTGAATTGCAGTCACCTTTGCTTAGTATACTTATTTTTATCTGTATTTATTTTATCTTATGTTTTATTTTGTCTGCATCATTGACACCTATTCTTTATTCCTTTCTTTAGAATACACTAGTATCAAAATCTTTCAAAACAATTTTAAAGATTTTGACATTGATATAACATTTGAACACACATACTTTGGATTCGGTTGCTCTTACTTGTTAAAATTATTCAATTTTATAAGTTTGAATTTGAAATTTGAAAAAATCATTGTATCTTGAAAAGGTCAGTATAAAGGGAACACATTACAAGCATACTATCCAGTTAAATGATGGAAGAACATTGTCAAGTTCAGTATTATATTTTCACAGATTTATCAGTGATTTTACATCTTGGTATAGTATTGTCAATAAATCTGTGAATTTGTAGTGTGAAGAACACTATAGAACACAGTAAATTGTTAGTCTAATATGTAGATGGTATTAATGATGATGTAGATATTAAATTTGGAACAATAATAAAACTTCTGTAGATAGTTTGGATATTACTATTGTTATGTAGATCTACATAACAATAGTAATGGTGTTTATCATTAACCTGCCTTTAGATTTTCATGTATACGTCAGATATTGCTTATATGACAATTACAAGTTAACTGTTTATTTTGTGATTTAATTAAAATTAATTTATGGAGTATACAGTTAAATAAGATATCCATGACGGATTTTAAAAATTGCTTCCTAGGATTTATTAATTCTTATATTAACAGTAAGGTTTTGGAGTATTTTGACTGAAGTCCAAGTGATTAAACTTGGCTCCAACTTTGATATAAACTTTTATATTTAAACTGTACAGTTAAGTCTAAAGAAAAGCCTGATGATTTACATGATGATAATGAAACACCTCATGGTACTGTTTTAACAGATTTACCATTATTAATTTTAATGAGCTTTTATAAAGGAATCGGAGCCAAAGATATAAGACTTGGAAAGTTGCAGCTGGAATTGGGAATTTAAAAGTGAGAATTGATTTTGTGTATTGATCAAGGTCTAATATAACTGGCCACTGCTTTATTCAGGTAGCTACATCCATGGTAAATGAGAAAAGTTAGCTACACAATGCAAAAAATTACAAATTAATTTGACTGAAAAATAAAGCTGTATATTCAGATAATATTTTTTCACAAATGTCACATTGATTATATATTTTTTGTTTTAAACATAGAAATTTATGCTTCTTTTTCAAGTAGTATAATGTTTTATTATATGTAAAAATAGTTTTTTCATTAGGCTAGTTTTAGTTACAAAAATTTTGTATATGTTATAGAATTGAATAACAGTTTAACAAAAGTGAAGATAATTACCAAAGATGATCGCTTTCCTCTATTTTCAACTTGTAAACCATTCTAGGAGGAAAAATGCACTAAGGTTATTTTGGAGGGTCACTAAGAAATTTGTGTGTTGACTGTCACATTAGAATCTAACAGTTATACAATTTATATCTTCATCTTCTGTTTGAAATTGAGCCAAATAAAGATGACATTTTTGACTGTATCAATCTATTCTTTTCTATTAGAATTAAAAGTGGACATGGTTATAGCTAGAAATTTAATTTGTTCTGTGGCAGACTTAAATATTAAATCATTTAAAAGTATAGTGGGTAATATAGATTTATTGAGCTGTTGTTTTGTATAGGATCAAAACTTTTATAGACAATTTTAGAAGGCTTAATTGAAATAATAGTTAAATGGGTAGATCTAGTTAGATTCTCTACTCATTTGACTACTGGTATTAATTTTACCATTGAACGAACATACTAGCAAGTTTATCGTTTTCTAGATTCTTCATTATCACTTAGTTGTATCAACTTACATAATAAACCCAAACTCCAGCAGTAATGTGAAATATTTACACTGTGGAACAAAAATTTTCAGGGACTTGTATCTCCATTTTCAGGTTTTAAAGTCTGTTGAACATAGAACAACACTTCTGACAAATGTAGAATGATGCATGTAGAAAACGTTTTTTTATTTCTATAGTTTTATGTCTGGGAGCATTTGCATAATACTTTGACACTTGTATATATATATGACAAGCTGCATTCCAGTGTTTGATTAATAGGGCTATCACCCTTTCTATATTAACAATACATATTCACCAAACATTTAATACAATTAGATATATATAAATATAAACATCCAAACCCAATAGTTATATATTAAAGCCGAATGATTGCCTCATTTTATTGGGCTATATTACTACTACTATTGTTAATTAAATGCTAAGTAATGTGGCACTAGAAGCAGGTATTAGATGTCATCTCTTGCTAAATTTAATAATTATAATTAAATGAATATTTTATTAATCTGATTTACCACGTGATCATATTGCTAGTTACACTACCCGAACCTTTGTCCAATTCTCATTTCCAGAACATATTAATTTAGACATAACGATACACAGGTGCTTACTAAATTAATTATTAAAATATTAATTTATTTATAATTATTAAATTTAGCAAGAGA